TCTCAGCCCAGGGGTCGAGTCCTGGTCGGGGCGAACAATTCTTTTTTGCAAGGGGGGAGGGCTGCTGAGTAGAAGGTCAAGTCCACCTCACCATGTCGGCTGGTCTTCTGTCCTAGCCCTTGGTCCCCGCGCCGCAAACTACTAAATCGGAAAAATGAGCCTCGGTCAGTATTCGAACCGACAACCAACCGCGTCCCGGGCGCGCGCTCTATCAACTGAGCTAATGATGATGCTTGTGCATAGGTGAAGCTTACCTCCGCCGTGGCTCACACCCCGAAACATATGGCTGGTAGAGGGGCAAAAGGGTTCGGTCGACTAGATTCGAACCAGCGACTGTTTGCGTACCGGCCCATCACATCAGGTGTCGCACGGCTGTAAAGTCATCGCCAGCGGAGCGCGAAAATTATCGCCCGGCCGAGATTCGAACCAGCGACCAGGTGCACACCGGGCCCGGACGCTAAAGACTTGGCCACGACGGAACGATACGTAGTACAACGTTCGGCGGCATCCAGATCTCAGCTGTTACTGACGCCCGAAGACACTTGGCCAGCAGAGCAGGAAAAATGATGACGGGATTCGAACTACCGACCATCCTCACGATCTGCCAACGATTACGCTTTAACACGCTCGGCTACCAGCTTTCTCATTTGAGGCCGAGGTCTGAGCTCGGTCCTGCCCTGCCTTGGGACTCGTAGGTCGGCGGTTCAAGTCTTCGCAAAAGGTGAAATTTTTCTCTGGCCAAAATTTTTTCGAGTAGACTCGGAACATGACCACATGTCACCGACGGCTGCGATGTGAGGGGGGCACTTCACAATTTATTTATTTTATATTGTTTCTTTATTTCTACGAACAGGTGCGTGCGGGTAGAGCGCCTGGCGGGTAGGCATTTCCGTCGGACGCGCGAGCCTCGCGGGGTTGCCTACGCTCGGACTTGCAAGTTTCCCCTTTTCTCTGGAGAACCGGGGAGGAGAGTGACGTCTTCAAGTCAGTGTGAGGCGATGGGCCTGTGGCGTTGAGCGCGAGGTGTGGAGCGTGAAGAGTTGAGCGTGAGGAGTTGAGGCGTGAGGAAAGGAGCGTGAGGGGCGAGGGCTGGAGGGGGGGGGGGAGGTAGTGTGTTGGCTGTTTTATTACTAGTCGTAAAACGCCGGTCGGGCTTGAGTTGGGCGTGGGGTGAGGACGCCTCCACGTCGCTCCGCCTTCTGCCTCGGTCTCCTGCTGGTGTAAACGCAGCTTTTCGAGTCGAATTTGCTCTCAGTGAACCGGTGTTGTGCTCGCGATGGTCTGTGAAAAGTGTGGTGTCGATCGCTCTCGGTGTTCGCGAGTTATTTGGTGATATCCGGTCCCTTCTATGCTTCCCGACGCCACTCCGTCGCTCGGAGAGCGCCCGAGTTGGTTCTGTAGCGTTGCTGCACTGCACAGCGTCGTTCGAGCGGGGTGGAGGAATGAGTTCAACCAACTCAGGTCCAACACATGTCGAAGTGTTCCAGTGCGGCGGGCGAGGGGAAAAAAGGGGGGGGG